CTGGATGCAGTTTTTTTTGTAGTGCCAAGTCTTAACATATAAATATTAGACACAAACTTGGGGACTATTGTTACAACTTCACGCAACGAAATAAATATAGCGATGCTAGAAAGCTCTAGGAATTACAAATAAAAAAGGCTCACAAGCCTTGTGAAACTTCGCTAAAAGGGCAAAACCAACCTAAACTCGTCATCCTAGAAAAAATTGTAGGTCCAAAAATAGCAGGCTAGCAAGGAAGCCAAACTTAAGAAATATTCAAGTACTGTTGTCCAACGTGAATGGAAAAACCCACTTGTACAATCATTAGATGATTGTAAAATTTTATAACCTCTCACATTAGTGTGAAACCTACAATCTAAATGATTGTACCCCAAGCACATTTCAACGTGAATATTATAAGGTTCAAATTTGAAGGACTTTTGTTACTACTTCACCCCACGTGAATGCTACATATGAGCCATGTCTAATCCAAATACCACGTCATTAACATCCCATGTCAATAGGGGCAACATAAACAGTACAATCTAAACGAAGCAAAGCTAGCATCGGAGGATGTCCACTTCCAAATTTCCAATTCGTTTATTGATTAAAACCTTACAAATCAAGAAGGTAAAAGTGTATTATAACACGTGTCGTATGAATATTACCATGTTAAATGTTATAACCTTTTGTTTGACGAATGTAAAATATTATTAAAGGTCTTCAGAAAATAAATTTCTAACAAAATGATTTAAATGTGTTTAGCTTAACGATACGTGAAGCCCCTATTTGTTAGAGATTAAAATAGGTTTTTTAGTAAATTTTGATAAAAATTTATAGAATATGTGGTTGAAAAATTGTGAATTCTCTGAATTGTATTGTTAAAATTAATTGTGACTTTGACTTAGATTTTAACTAGATTTTTTAGTAGTATCGAGGACTAAATCAGTAAATTAGCCTTGCATATGATCAATTAGAAAGCAATTTACAGTGTGTCTAGAGGAAGGAGGTGAGACTTTTTTTCACCATTTTGTGCATAAAATCGAAAAAATTACGATTTTATGGCGCATAAATTATTCATTTTCTAAATTTCTGCACGTAGAATATTCTGAATTAAATACATGTAAAAATTTCCATTCTTCAAATAATTCATATAAAAACAAATATCGCGATTTATTGACACCATTATATAGAGAAAAAAACGATATTAAAGAAATTCAATTCTTTTAATTTAAAATAAGATAGTTAAGAGTGATTCAATATTGATATTTAAAGTATTAAAATGATTAGTATAAAAATTCAAGAATGTTATGTCTTTTCTCTACTTTCATTTATTATCTATAGGTCTATAAGTGAACAAGAATGAGTTATTTTTTAAAAGTAAGAGAATAATGAAAAAAGAAAATGGAATTAAGAGAGTCAAAACTCCAGTGTGTATTTCATTATAACAATAACCACTATATATAAGGTTTCGATGATAATTGCAATTTGAATAAAATACACTTTTGTAGAGTAAGTAAGAATTATTTAAATATCTTGATAATACTAATAGTCATCAATAATTATCATAATTTTACAATAATCCCCCTTTGATTACTATTGTACGATAATTGTCTCGTTAAAGATTTAGTTTGGCAAAAAATAAGTGGAATAAAATACCAAATGAACAAAAAAATAGTACAATTCATTATAAAAATTGGAATAACTAAATGTTGCATCATAAAAATCTTGTCAGAAAACCATGGGACAAAACCTTATCGTTATAATTCATAATATAAATCGCTATATTATGTGTAAAATGTCGTCTACAATTTTTTTCTTTTTCAATTCATTTCTTTTCTCATAATAACATAACTTATTGATATATCTTAATTTTCAATATTTCAAGTATATAAACCTTTTATGA